TGGTGGTATATAGAGGGAAGTCTTTGGAATGGGGGTGGAACTGTGTTATTGGTGCTTGTGTGAGTTCAGGGTGGTTATGGCTTTTGGGAAGAAACTGTTCCTGAGTTTGTCAGTCTTTGTGCTGATGCACCTGTAGCACTTCCCTGAGGGAAACAGGTTGAACAACGCAGCATTAACACATCCATGTAAACATGTAAACATGTAAGATGTAACTTCCAAAATTTAGCACACATACAGCTAATATAAAGCCACAGTCCATCAGAGAGTTACATTAAGCCATAAAATATATAAAATACTTTCAGATATAAAAGAGAAAAATAAAAAATATAATACATCAGACTAAAATGATCACAGTGTTGGTTTGTTTGAGGTGTGCTTTCAAAATTCCGGTATGTACCTGCCTGTGGTGACCGCACAGTTTGTCTAAATGAGACACTCATGGTGCCCTCTAGTGGTGGCCGTGGCATATACATTACAGCCAGCCCATCAGTTAATAATTTCATTTAAAGCTCAAAAGATTCAGTTTTTCCAAAATGTTACACTGATGTCTAAGTTTTTCTTGAAAAGTGATTCACTTGAAGAAAGTGTTGTTCCACCAGCAATGGTAAATAAAAAAAACAAAACAAAACCAAAAAAACCCCCCCAACAGGTTCACTTAAAATTATACAAAACTAATGTTACATTAATGGATACTATTTTAACACCTTTTAATGTGCAGTGTGAAACTAACTGAACAGGATCACATTAAAGTGAATCCCCTCGACTGACCATTCTTTAATTATCTCAAATTTAGTCCCCAGTTTTTAATAAAAACAGCAGCAAACCTATATAAACAGCAGTGAGAGAATCTGAGCATTTGTTTATATGTAAGAATAAAATGTGTGTAATTAAAATGTTCTATACTAAATATATGTCTACATACACTCACCAGCCACTTTATTCCTTAAAGATTTTGGTCTGCATGGCACCAACAACCATGACATGTTCAAAGTCACTTACATCACCTTTTGTCTCCATTCTGATACTCAGTTTGAACTTCAGCAGGTCATCTTGATCAATCTTTACATCCCCAAATGCACCGAGTTGCTGTCATGTGATTATCTGAATAGATATTTGCTCTATTGCGGGTTTAACACGTGTACCTAATGAAGTGGCTACTTCCTGCATATGTGTTTTCCAGTAATCATAGTTTTTCCCCCTCTGCTTTTCACTGTGCACACTGAATTTACAGCTATAAAACAATTTCATCTTCAAATCTTGACTTCTGTGGGACATAAGATGCATAGAACAAATACGGTTCTAAAAACAGCGCTTTGCTGCTTTAAAGCCGTTCCCCTCCTTTATTTGTTCTGACAGCGAGCTCTCTGAATCCACACACAATTTTAGTTCTTCTTCTGTTGTAAATGAAGGAAAAATGAGCTGATGAAACAAGCTCCGTCATTATAAACTTCCTGCTGACGTTTCCATGTGAAGCCGTCTTAGCCGTTCCTCCGATTTGAAACAAAATAAAGCTCCGATATTTTTCTCTACATGCCTCTACACTAGTTTATCTCATAACTTTGAATCCCCCCGAAGATACTGACAATGAAGCACATACATAATAATTCAACCTTTCAACTCTGATCTTATTTAGTTTTATTAATGTACTGAAATCTAATTTCTGTCATGAAGAAAGTCTTTAATCAAATATCAGAAACATTTCATATATGGAGTTAAACACGAATCATTGCTTCAGCTTCACAGCTTCAATTCACTGACAGGAAACAACATTAGAAATATAATCATCCTCAAGTCATCTGCTCCACTAACACTGTACTTTCAACAACAGCACATTGGCTTTATTGTTAAGTGTTAATATATGGAAACATATTGTGAGTGAAAGTGTGTGTGAAGGTGTGTATGTGTGTGTTAGTATCAGGATCAGAGAACGACAGCTGTCCTCTGTTCACTCTGATCCTCTGGAGCAGTGAGAGGAGCTGATGGTGAGAGTGCATAGTATTTACTTTCATAGAACCTTATTCTCGATAATCCAGACAGTATGATTCCCTTCCTCTGCACAGACTCTGCAAACACACCCAGTCCCCACCGTATACTGTCTCCAACCTCGACATCCCAGCTGTGATTCCCTGAGTTAAAGCCTTCAGAGCCCACGACAGAGCAGGAATCATTAAACCTCTCTGGATTATCAGGAAGCTGTTGTCTTTCTCCTCCTATCACACTGGTCAGATTTTCAGACATGATGAGGTTTGGATGAGCGGTGTTTGGGATCCAGAATGAGAGGAGTGTAGGAGACCATGTCCTTCATATTGTTCCAGATGTTGAAGGTCAGGTTGCCCAGGTGTTTGGCCTGGTCTATCAGAGCTCCTGAGGGCAGCTGTGGATCATCCAGCAGGGGGCAGTGTTGTACTCTTTCCAATGCATTCTTGTAGTTGTGCAGAAATGAGACGTCTTCAGCTCTCAGCTCCTCCTCTGTGGCTCTGACTGTGTCTGAAAGAGTTGCTATCT